CATATCTGTCCCCCCTGAGCATTTTCTAGCACAAATTTACTATATTCTTGGACGAGAAATCTTTCATTTCAATAAGGTTCCCTATTATCCATGGTTTCTCCTGAAGTCCAGGATCTATCTCCCATGGATATGGGGATTATATTCTATTAGAACTTTAGATTAGGCCCATGTATCTCAATAGTAAATTCAAATTTCAGCATCATTATGTATCACTAGACAGAAATAATGGAGAAGTTTGAATATGAGTTAAAATGAAGGTTTCGCTTACAGATTTCTTCTACATTTGGTTCAGGAATGGGATCTCAAAACTCAAACTGTAGTACTATAGTCACTCATCTAATTTAAATTTGACTTACTTCTAAGTAAACATACATAAGACTGCACTGTAAAAGCTTTTAAAGAAGATATCAGACAACACCTGTCATAAAAAGAGGCCAGGAGACAAGGACGAAAAAATTGATGTTAAATTATGCTTCTGAGTTGACAATTAAACATGCATACCTCTTCAAACAACAAGAAATCTCGATGTTCCTTGTGAAGTGGATTCATTATCATTTTACTTGCCATTTCTATTTGGTATTTGCAGAGTCATGTCTGATATCTATGATCGCATATTTTCAAAGAACCAGAGGCCACTGTGATTTAGTGAGCAAATCTAATTTTGGATTTCATGTGTTATTGACTCAGGGAGTTTTATGTCTAACCCAAGAAAAAATAATTTCTTTCAAAACACCGTTAATTATCCTCAAATGCCGATATCAATGTCTGCTACCACATAACCACATCTGGCAACAATGAAGACAAATTAACAATGAGAGTCAGAAAACCTGGCAATTTTGATAAACAAAAGCATGAAAAATCCATTCTGTATAGTTAGACCACCAGTGACTCAAGATGGATTAACTTCCTGTTTCCCATACTAGCATGTAAATTTAAGGAAGTGTGGAGAAAAATTACATTGCAATCTGGATACCAGGTTCCTCGATGGAGTAGAAGACCTGGCTTTGACTTCACTGGCACGAAGGGGGGATGTAAGAAGAGGGGGAGAACCTTTGCGCCGGCTTTATCCTCTGAAAGATGTAACGTATGAAGTTCTGTTCAAACACCTGTTTCCAATTTAGCTTTAAAAATCTGTCAACTATATAAATTTGCACCTTCAAAGTGAATGGATTTTTGAAAAGAAAACCCGGCCATGACAAGGAGACACATGGGCACAGGGAGAGACATGTGCTTAGACACACTGCTGACATGAGCATTCACAGCTTTTAGGAGCCCTAGACTAAAACCAGTGAAAACAGATGGGGCCTGCTTTAATTACCCCAAAGTACTGCACTTTGATTTTTAACCAAAGGAAATAAAATACCTAATCTTTGATTTGGAATGGCACTTATGTCTGTGGAGGATGGGGTGGGGGCAAGTTTTCAGTTTGAACTTCATCTAGAAACCTGATGCTGTATTGTTCAACTTCACTGAAATGGGAAAGCAGATTCATTTCAGAGGGAAAATAGGGAATTGTTTCCATGTGCCTTCATGTTATTCTTGTCCTGCACATATAAAGCTATAGGACAGCGTTTCTCAACCTTCCTAATGCCGCAAGCCCTTAATACAGTTCCTCATGTTGTGGTGATTCCCAACCATAATTATTTTTGTTGCTACTTCATAACTGTAATGTTGCTATTGTTATAAATCGTAATGTAAAGATCTGATATACAGGATGTATTTTCATTCACTGGACCAAATTTGGCACAAATACCAGATATACCCAAATTTGAATAGTGGTCGGATAGGGGGATTGATTTTGTAATTTGGGATTTGTAGTTGCTGGGTTTTATAGTTCATCTGCAATCAAAGAGCATTCTGAACTCTAGCAACAATGGAATTGAACCAAACTTGGCACACAAAACTCCCAAGGAAAGATTTGGTGGGCATTGACCTTGAGTTTTGGAGTTGTATTTCACCTACATCCAGAGAGCACTGTGGACTCAAACAATGATGGATCTGGACCAAATCTGGCACGAATCCTCATGTGTTGAAGGGACTTCAAGCCTACCTCCAACCTAGCACCCCCCTGCTTGCCCACACATGCGCACAATGGTGCCATATGCCAAGCATGCCTGCTCTCTCTCTCCCCCCCCCACCCCCCGGGTTGGAGTTTCAGAAACAGTCCTCCCCTTGGCTGAGAGGTTGGCCAATCACAGTGGAGGAAGGATTTTGGTGGGAGGATTCAATGTCAGTTTCCAAAAAGGAAGAGGACAGGTGGAGAGAAAATATGTTTTTTGTTGGTTGTTGGTGACCCCTCTGGAACCCCCTCATGACCCCCCCAGGGGTCCCGACCCTCAGGTTGCGAAAAGCTGCTATAGCAGGCCAGCAAGTCTTCTACTGTAACACTGGTTTTCCCCTAACAATAACATATCACAGATAAAAAATAGATGTGTAGCCAGTGAAAATTAGAGGCTAAAATGGCATAAGTTATTATTGAGTAAATCTACAGATAAACTACAATAGACTTAAGCAGTTTGCTTTTGCCTCTGCCTATAGGGAAGAGAAAAATTTAATCTCTCTTCTCCATTCTTTCCTGCTGTGTTAACTGAATTGAAACTTTTGAATTTTGCACTCAGTTTGCCACAACTGAGGTATGCAAAGACTGAAAGAAGGAAATGGGAGGAGAGAGAAACCAGGATATTTTAAAAGCATTGAAAGAGTGCAGAGGATTAATTGGGCCTCTCCCTGTCAAATCAGGATAGTTTATCTCTGAATGTGCAGAAAGGATTATAAAAATGTTTATAAAGGAAGGCATCAATCATATTGTGGCGCTGAAGATCTCACAATGAGTTCCAAAGAACATTTGAGTCAGGCATAAGGCAATAGGCACAACCATTTTAACCATTTAAATAATGCTAGTGATATAAACACTGTGAAATTGACATGGACAGCACAGGTTGACGTGACACCTTGGCTTTCTTTTAAAAAATGATAACAAACTGAGCAAAGTTCTAGCACTTCACACTATGAAGACAGACATTGTACAGTAGTATGTGGCTGCTCATAGAGCTTATAGCCTGTAACAGTGTAAAACCAGCTTCTTGTGTATCAAACTACATACTTCAAGACCTGAGTGGTGAGATGAAAATGAAAAGGGATCACAGATAAGATTTCTAGGGGCAAAGATTACTGCAGATGCAGACTGTAGCCAGGAAATCAGAAGACGCTTACTTCTTGGGAGGAGAGCAATGTCCAGTCTCGATAAAATAGTGAAGAGTAGAGACATCAGACTGACAACAAAGATCCGCCTAGTCAAAGCCATGGTATTCCCTGTAGTCACCTACGGATGTGAGAGCTGGACCTTAGGGAAGGCTGAGCGAAGGAAGATCGATGCTTTTGAACTGTGGTGTTGGAGGAAAGTTCTGAGAGTGCCTTGGACTGCGAGAAGATCCAACCAGTCCATCCTCCAGGAAATAAAGCCCGACTGCTCATTGGAGGGAAAGATACTAGAGACAAAGTTGAAGTACTTTGGCCACATCATGAGGAGACAGGAAAGCCTAGAGAAGACAATTATGCTGGGGAAAGTGGAAGGCAAAAGGAAGAGGGGCCGACCAAGGGCAAGATGGATGGATGGCATCCTTGAAGTGACTGGACTGACCTTGAGGGAGCTGGGGGTGGTAACGGCCGACAGGGAGCTCTGGCGTGGGCTGGTCCATGAGGTCACGAAGAGTCGGAGACGACTGAACGAATGAACAACAACAACACAGATAAGAAATGATAGGAATGCCAAATTACCAAGAAAGAGTAAGTAGCCCAGACCTGCAGGGAATATATCAAGAAAGCTAAAGCTTTGAATGATCTAAATCTATTTGAAGGATAACAAAAAGACTTTACTAGGTATGTTGGAACAAGGAGATCTGCCAGCACAGCACTGTAAAAGAAGAGGGAAATATTAATGTGTTTTTGCTTTTTTCTCAGAAAACATTGCAATTTTTGCATTGAATTTTTGTACGGATATTTTGATATTTCTTCAGGATGTTCTCTGATGTGAAAAATCATGGCAAAATGTGTAAAGATTAATGTAACATCATGCAATTGGGAGAAAACTCTGAAAAAATATTCTCATGCATAGGAATGAAAATAAGTCACTCTTTACAAGCCAGTGTTCTCCTAAAAGGTGAACTGTGTGGAATCTTTCAGGATTAGTGTGGGAACTGCAGTTCACAATTTATAAGGAGATGCTGAAAAAAAAAAACCCTCTCTATTTTAAATACTGTCATCAGAGAAAGAACTTGAGTCGCCCTTGGGCTGAGAATTGCGGTATATAAGCGTAGTAAATAAATAAATAAACTTGCTAGAATTTTAAAGAAATCCTTGAATGATATGTCATATGTCTGATGATAGCAAAAGTCCCAATCTTCTCAAAACGTACAAGGACTACTTTGAAACTACAAATTGGATGGGCTAATTTATATAGGAAAATATAACAGATTAAAATGTTTTGACTATTCTGTAACCCGCCTCGAGCCACGAGGAGAGGCTGGTAGGAAATAACAACAACAACAACAACAACAGCACTCTACTTGTAAGATTCTTGATAAACAGTATCTAGCATGGATTTTTCAAGAATSAYTTTACCAACTAAACTGTCACTCATTTTTTCAAAAATTGAGCTGCTAGCTTAGTGAACTGTGGGCATGCTTTAGACATAATTTATCTTGCTTTTGGAGAAAGTTCAAAAACAAAAGTGATGCCACTCTACCCTGCAGTTTAGTACTCTCCAATGTTTTTATCAATATCATAGATTGGGATTGCCCCCTCCCCCGACTTCATAAATAAAACTTCAGAAAGTAGGAATATATTTCAAAATGGCCTTCAAAACTGTCTTAACCAAAACAAAATGCAGCTGTATGATTATTTGTCTGAATGAAACCTGCYAAACAGAGAGAAAGAGTGGATGAAAAATGTGAACTATTTTTTGTATTTCTTCCCCACCCCCATCCATAGCAAAAGGAGAATTTGTGCACSAAATGAGCTTTATTTTCAGTTTATGTAAAACACAGAATCCCATTTTATTGACTTGGAATAAAACATCTGATCTGTGTGGTGGTGGTGGTGGTGGTGGTGGTGGGGGGGGGTTATGCCATTGAAAAGGAGAAGGGCAAATTCACTCTTTGCCATTAGTTTGCCAGTGCTCTTGTAAAGTAACGTAAAGTAACAGCCTACTACAGAGGTGGCCAATATGTAGTATGTTTTACTACAGAAGTGGGAAATTTGTCATACTCCAACTGCAAAATTTCAATTCTCTTTAGCCCCATGCAACAAAATCTGGAAGACTACACACATTGCTCGGTCCTAGTTTAGTTCTACCACTCGCATTTACCAAGAAAGGTAGCACTGAGCTAGGTTATACAGAAGAATTAATCACAAATAGGGTCAGGTTATGCAAGAGAAAATATAAAGAAAGCCACCATGATGGTTTAAGAAGGAAAGACAGAAAATGTTACACATTAGTAGAACTATCCCTTTCACACAAACTGGTGGCTTACCAGGACATTAAAATAGCATGGTGACATTAAGCTCACAACTTCCTCATCCACTTGATTTTGGGCTGCTGTGCCATGAAGAAGGTTCAGTTTCATGCTCATCACCATTTGACATTTTTAATGATTCAGAGTCTGTTTACTGCATCCATTCATTTTAAATGCAAGCTTTTTCCTCTTATATGTGGTTGTTTCCAGATATGTGCTCGCATGAAGGCAACAAGCAAGTAAATACAAGCAGTATATAGAAATGGCTAGCAGCCATTTCTGCAAAGTGTATCAGCAATTTTCCTGAAGCAGTCACTGGAGGACTAGCAACTAGATGTATCTGTTTACTGCCAGATTACAAGCTAAATATCTAATTGATAGTGGAAAATCTAAACCTTTAGGAGCCTCTGGTGGTGCAATGGGTTAAATCCCTATGTCAGCTCCAGCTCCCCATTAAAGGACGTGAGAGAAGCTTCCCACAAGGATGGTAAAACATCAATACATCCAGGCTTCCCCTGGGCAACGTCCTTGCAGACGGCCAAATCTCTCACAACAGAAGTGATTTGTAGTTTCTGAAGTTGTTCCTGACATACATACACACACACAAAGTTAAACCTTTGGCAAGGATGTTTAAAATAGTAATGTAGGAAGATGCCTTAGGTGACACACTTGTTCCTTCTAAAAGTGCAACCTTATCCATGACTACTTGCTTAATTCAGTGGCTCTTACTCTTAGGAAAGGTGCAAAAGACCTCTGGTTAACTCCACAACAATGGCTGCAACAACCCAAGTACAGGTCTTTCCCATTATCTACTGACGTCAACATTTTGAAATAGAAATGTCAGTGATTAAACTTGAGGTCTTTGCACTTTAACACCAAAGTTCAATTTTTAATATTTCAATGGGAGGGATCATGAGTGGATTGTTTGGCTCAAATGTTTTTTTTGGGAATGATCAATTAAAGAGGCTGCATATCCCCATGCCACATATGAAGAGACTTCACTGCCTTTGGTTGTCATCACTGAAGACATCCATATGAGAGATTGTTAGGGTATGAGGGCCTCTTCAAAACAGATGTGCTCACCAAGGCATGGAAATCTCCAGACAATAGTCTAATTTTTCAAATATGCATGATAAAAAGATCAATACAAAGCATACCTTCTGTATTTAATGATTAAGAAAATAAGATGAAAGGGGAATGTGGACAGGGTTTTCCTTAGTTCAGGGAAATCTCTGCTTTCAATTTGGAGCCACTGGAGTGCAACTAGTATAGGCAGGTGGCATTGCTAACTCTCAGGAGTAGTGTTCCCTGCTGCTAATTTTGCTTTGGAGAACTGTGATACATATTGGTAACTGGGGATGAATCACATATAGCACCTGAGGTAGCAATAATGAAATCTACAGGGAGCAAAAATGGACAAGTATATTTGTGTATAGAGCTGATACTCTGCTATGGCTTGTTATTCACTGAACTGCAGATGAATTGGCCAAGGGGGCAAGGAATTCGCCTTTTCATTTCTCTGAACATCAATCTGTCATTTTCTTGTGAATAGAGCTGCCCAACTTGTTAAAAGTGATATGGAAACACAACCATGTTACTTGCTCATAAATTTCAATTATCCATTAAACACAAGCACACTCTCTCTCACACACTATACACGGTTGGCAGTTGTTTGGAATGCTTTAGCACTCATTTGAATACAACAAAGTATTTCTTGTAACAAATGCATAATTATTATTCGCACCATTAATTTACAAAAAAGGTATCATTTGGTTAAAAACAAAGCTATAGAATTATTAGAAATATATTCTATAAGGAATGTATAATCCGCAGGAAACTGTATAATGTTTTGGCAATAAACCTGTATCCATATAAAATGTATTTCTTTTCTGAATCATAGCTCTATTAAAAAATAAGAATGGAATGTCTTTTCTTCCCTTCTCTTTTTAAATAAATGTCCATTTTGAGGTAGTATATTCCTTTGGTCCATAGAAATTAGATTTTGGGGTTACAGCAAGCGGGGAAACTATGTATCCAATTCAAAGGACTGAAAAGCAGGAGTCCTAAAATGTTCCGCTGCCTGTTTGTAAATGCAATCGGCATTGTCACCATCAGGAAACGTCCTGTCCTTTCTGTGATCATCCTCAGATTCTGAGTCAAAGTCCAACGACTCATGAAGATGACTACAAGAGACTTGAGGTTGCCAAATGGGTGGCTGCTTACAGCTTGAGAAGGAATCAAGTTGGTGCCTCCATATTGGTTTCCCAAACGTTCCTTAAAGAGACAAGAGAGAAAAAAGTTATTAACTGGTTTTCTTTTGAGGAAAAAATGGACAAAACCAAGTGACCAATGCTTTAAAAAAGCCTTTGTGCCTTCATCTCTTAACATCATAGAACTGGAAGAGACCACGTGGGCCATCTAGTCCAACCCCCCGCAATGCAGAAAAAGCACAATCAAAATACCCCCTGACAGATGGCCATCCATCTGTTTAAATGTTTCCAAAGAAGGCGCTTCCACCACACATCATTCATGTTGAGGTGAACATGACTTTAGGTTCTTTGAAAACATTTTCAACTGCCCTATTCCAGGGCAGGATACCTATGGAAGGGGGCTGGTTTTGGTCAGAGAACTATGTACAAAACATGCAATTTCCCAATGTGGCCTTAGAAATAAGGCTGCGTGATCACAGAAGGCAAGGTTATCCGCCATTCAATTGTTTCACGAGGCAGGAGAACCAGATTTGCCTCCAAAAGGCAGGGCAGTATAGTGGCAAGAAAGGCCTGGATTCAAATCTCAATTTTGTCAGCAAACTTGCCAGTTAATCTCTTTCAGCCTAATTCATGTCATAGATAAGATAATGCTGAATGGGTTTCTGAAGACCTTTGTAGGAAGAGGAAGATTAAAAACTACCTATGAAAGATTCCAGCTACTTTACTCAGCTAATGGTATGCAAACCTGGCTACTACATGCATACTTTGTTGTACTGGAGGAAACAGCCAAATACAGAATTAGCAGTGAAGACGAATGATTCTTTTTTAAATTTATTCCAAGGACAGACGGACATGGCCAAATTACCTTTACTCCCCATTCACCAATATCACAGCAGGCAAACTCAATCATTTGTTCATGGGTGGGAATCTTGGGAATCAAACAAAAAGCTGTTGGACTATAATTCCCAGTATTTTTCACCACTGCCTGTGCTGGATAGTGATTTTCTGCAAGGATCTGCATCCTAGCAACATCTATATGGGGAGGGGGACATGATTTAGATCCCCACTTTACTTTTTTGTTGTTGTTTATTCGTTCTTTCGCTTCCGACTCTTTGTGACCTCATGGACCAGCCCACACCATAGCTCACTATCAGCTGTGGCCACCCCCAGCTCCGTCAAGGTCAAGCCAGTCACTTCAAGGTTAACATCTATCTATCTTGCCCTTGGTCGGGCCCTCTTCCTTTTTCCTTCCATTTTCCCCTATCATCATTATCTTCTCCAAGCTTTCCTGTCTTCTCATTGTGTGGCCAAAGTACTTCAACTTTGACTCCAATATCCTTCCCTCCAATGAGCAGTCGGGTTTTATTTCCTGGAGTATGGACTGGTTTGATCTTCTCATGGTCCAAGGCACTCTAAAATTTTTTCCTCCAACACTACAGTTCCTTCACTCAGTCTTCCTTATGGTCCACTTTACTTAATAACCTCTAATTTTCTGTTTATAAGTTTATTTATTGTTGTATTACTGTTGCTATGTTTTATTGTTGTATTGTGGGCTCGGCCTCATGTAAGCCGCTCCGAGTCCCTTGGGGAGATGGTAGCGGGGTACAAAAAAAGATAATAATAATAATAATAATAATAATAATAATAATAATAATAATATCCCCATCATTTATTCTGTGAATCAGATCTTTCAGCATCAATTCTTCTAACTTCATTTTTCCCCAACTTGGGGAAGTAAAACAACCTAATGAATTTATAGTCCAAAAGCATCATCTGAAGCTTTTACAGCAGGAGTTGGGCCCTCCAGATATTCATCGACAACTCTCATCAGACCCAAGCAGCAAAGCCAATGGTAGGGGATGACAGGGGTTGCAGTTCAGGAACATCTGGAAAACTACATATTCCCCATACCTGGTTTATAGTGTAAACTTCTGACTTCTGACTCAGAAACAAATTGGATTATGTTCAGTTGAGTTTACTCTTTACTAAGTGTGTTCAAGAGTGTTATCTTTATTGTGGCTATATGTCTTCAAGCTGACTCTGATTTATGGCAACCTAGTCCTAAGGTTTTCTTAGCAAAATTTGTTTAGAAAAGGTTTGCCTACCTCTGTGGCTGAGACAGAGTGACCTTTACAAGGATACCCATTGGTTTTCCATGGTTAAGCAGAGATCTGAACTCTAGGCTCCCAGAGCCCTAGTCCAACAGTCAAACCACCCCACTGCACTTTAATCAGCTATTAAAACATACCCATGAAAGTGCCACTTGTAGCTGCAGAAGATGGTTCTTGATTCCTCTTAAAATCACACACATCCATGTTTAGATGTGAACTTCTTGTTCCACTTTCTTCACTTTGCATGCCAACAGAAGGATGCAATTTACTACTTGGATTATGTATTCCAGCAATGCTGATATATTGGTCAAAAGGATCTTCAGGTGGGTGAGGTGGAGGATAGCATTCTTTCCTTTTCAAACAACTTGAATCATAAGTGTCTATGCACACTGTTCTTTGCTCTGGAGTGCAGCCTTAAACAAAACAAAATGACATGAAATTAGAACGTGGTGGGCATGACAGAATAAAAATTCAGGAAACACCCCAAAAGAAAAAGAAATAAAGTATTTAAAAACGTCTATATTACCTGTGTGGTATACTTCAAATACATCTGGTCCACATATATTCCCCTTCAAATATATACTTCCTGACATTCCCAGATAATGGCATAAAAATGGATCTGTTACAGCTTCCAGGTCATTTTCACTGCAATTATCCATATGACAAATTCCTTTAAAACAAATACAGGACACATCAGGAGCTGCAGTGTGCTTCTCTGAGCATTAAAGAAGGGGAAAGGGATTTCAGTAATGTTAGTTTGCCATGTAGCTAAGCTTGTAGATCTAGAACCAAAAGACTGCAGCCATTATTCACAAACAGTCCTTGTTTGGGTTTCTACATTTACTTTTCATAAGCATAGAATCTTCCACTTGATAGTGAGACATAGAAAGCAGGTAGGAAAAAGTGGCTGCCATACAATCTCTTTTTCCCATGTGTGTCTCAGGGAACCAGTCAGGGAGAACAGCAAACACAGACGTTGCTTTTGGGATGTGGAAGCCTTGAAATAGCATTAACCTGGAACAGAGATCTCTGTTTGTTGTTGGAGAAAAAAAGAAACAGAACTTCTCTGTGAGCAAAAAGGCCTCAGCTGGCACCCATGCTGAAGTCTCTTGGCAGCCATCTCCACACTATTAATATCACTGACCAATGTTTTGAAAGCTTGGCTGTAAGTGGGAAAAAATGAAATAAAACACAGAACAAGAATCTCCAAGTCATTTCCTGGAAGTGCTTTACAGCTGGGACAGAGAAACATGAACGTTTATTGACATATGAAGATGTACAGCTGACCATAATCCCCAAAGAAAGCAGTTACTGGCCATAATGGCTATGGATAATGGAAGCTGCAGTCCAGAAGGCCCAAAACAAAAGGTTGGGAGAGCTGCTTTAATTAATAAATATGTTTTCCTCTCACATGGGAACCAAATAGAGTTGCCAAAAAGAAAGAAATTATTTTTACATCTTAAAACTTTGGATGGAGGAAACAGAAGTCGTGACCAACAAGTACAAAAACAAACTGTTAGCACTGATTGTTGTTGTTATGTGCCTTCAAGTAATTTCTGACTTATGGTGACCCTAACACAAAACTACCATGAGGTTTTCTGAGCCCAAGCATGTCTGACTTGCCCAAGGTCACTCAGTGAGTTTCCATTGCTGAGCAGCAAAATGAACCCTGCTGTCCAGATTTGTAATCCAACACTCAAACCAATACACCCTGCTGACTCTCTAGCAATTGATACAAATATATAAATAATCCAACTGCTACTTCCTACATTGAATTTACAAGCTCAATAGATTGCATCTTGCAAAAAAAAAACTGCACCTGAGTAAAGAACAAACACAATTTTAGCTTGCAAACTTGTACAAAATTATCTGGAAGTAAGTCCTGCTGAATTAAGCAGTCTGACATTTTGGGACATGTATACAATTGCCATGCTAAATACCTACCACTACTGTCTCTTTGCTGTAAAAAATATCCTCCCATGGATGATGACGAAGATGATACAAAGTGATGCTGACTTCCATTCTCTGATGACCCATAGCCATCTTGTCTTTCGGCTAGAGTTCCCTGGGATGACAGATAACTGGGAATATCAGCAGGCAGATTTGTTTCATCTGTGATTAAGCAAACACATACAAAGTATTAATGTAAGATTCTCTGCAGCCATGTAAAGCTAACACAGTCAGTTTTAAAAAGTGATTCACTCTTCAGAATTTGAATCAAAAAGCAGAAACACATTTTTGGATGAAAACCTATGCTGAGCAACCGCAAACATATTTGAGTGTGGCTGTGCAGTGCCAAGTTTCAGTTTACACACCTGTGTTTGTGATGCTACAATCTTCATTCCTTCTCCTTGTGTGGTATATGATGACCACCCACACAAGGGAAGTGCCTACCACACAGCAGACCACAGCTATGATCACAACACCCACAGTGGCCCATCCATCATCATCCAAAGATGGAGCAGCATTCTGAGGAGAGTCACAGGTAGGAGTGGGAATTACGCTGAGGCGAATGTTGCCTCTCTCCGTTCCAAGAGTGTTCGACATTTCACATGTGTATTTCCCGGCATCTTCAAAATCTGTGTCCACAATGATGAGCAGCTGATTTCCCGCAGCAAAGAAGTGCCTCTCTGTCACCACTAAAGTGCTGTCATCTTTGGTCCAGTTCAGTCGTGGCGGAGGACTACCGCCGGCAATACACTGCAACACTGCAGTTTCACCTTTGGTCACCGTTCGGTCCAACAAAGGCCGCAAAAATGAGGGTGTTTCTAAAAGTAAGCAAGGAAAATCCAACATTTATCACCAAAAAGTTTGCTCAAATTCAGTTGGCTGTATTGGTCAATAATATTCACCATCAGAGATACATGACAATACTAGTAGGCACTAGATAACTACACTTTATCTTACCTAATACTGTCAATGTTGCATTTGCAGAAATGCTCCCAGCAGTGTTTTGAGCTGTGCAGCTGTAAACACCGGTATCCTCAATTTTGACATCCACAATAAAGAACACGTCATCTTCTGGCATCACATGCATGCGCCGCTTCCGCGCTGCTGGAAAGTCGGTGCCACCATCCTTCTGCCATGCAATCTGAGGCACTGGGTGTCCGACAGCAGCGCATTCCAAGCGTGCCATTGCTCCTGCACGAATTGTAAGGTCCATGGGCACTTTGGTAAATGTAGGAAGCACTAAAAGAGAAGAAATTTTATAAAGGCAGTTGGTTTCAGAATGCCTATACAGTGTAAGAAAAATCAATATCCAACTCAACGCGTGGGAGATTATTTTCCACTACTTTCTCGGCTATTCAATTCAATTTGGTCTAGACTTTGGTTGAGCCTTTTTTTATACCAGTAATCTTTGAGATCTGATCTTAGGAACACTTGTAACTAGAGTAGTGTGTGGCTTTCAGCAATTTACTAGTAGAGAATTTGTCATATTGCACTTTCATAAAAACACAGCATTGGTTGCCTATTTGCTTTTTAGGCTGAATTTTCAGCCCTGCCCACCAAAAGCAGATTATAGCTGCTTGTCATTTTGTAGCACTTCAGATTAAACAAACTTTAAGGCCAATACTAGCTGGCCTTCCATTAGTGGACTACAAAGGCGTAAATCAGTCTTATACTTGTGTAAGTCTTTTGTGGGTTAGTGTGAAAGTGGTAGTCTCCTTTTCTCCTGGAATTGCCATAGGAGAACTCTCACTGCCATTCCATGGCAGATGGAGAAGAAGGATGATGAGAGAAATGTCTACATTGCCAGACATGAAATCATTACACCATTTGCCAAGATATCGGAGCCCCGGTGATGCAATGGGTTAAACTCTTGTGTGGATGAACTGCTGACCTGAAGGTCAGTGATTTGAATCCGTGAGACGGGGTGGGCTCCTATCTGTCAGCTCCAGCTTCCCTTGTGGAGACATGAGAGAAGCCTCCCACAGGATGGTAAAACATTCAAGTGTCCCCTGGGCAACGTCCTTGCAGACAGCCAATTCTTTCAAAATAGAAACGACTTGCAGTCATTTCTGACATGATTAAAAAAAATCTACCAAAATCTCAGAAAAACCTCAGCAAAGATATCTGGATAGGGGGACAAGGCATATATATCTTTAATGCCTCTTTTCTACTCTCCAGTAACTACAAAATGGGCATTTGGGAGCTGTAGTGAACCTACAGTAAATCCAAGGGGTTCGTAACAGGCAGTTACACTACACTGGGCCATAGAGGATTCTAGCCAATGTGAGTGCATCTTTAGCACTTAACTTTCAAAATACATTTTTGTGATCATACAGTCTTCAAACAGCATCTCAATGTCATTTACTTAGATTTTCTGGAGGAAAACTTTGAGATGCAATTTGTTTAATGCACAAGGAAACTCAAGATGCTTACTGTTCACTGTAAGCTTAGCTTTGACAGAGTAGGATGAGCCAAAGTGATTTGAGATGACACACTGGTATTTCCCTTCATTGCTGAATTCCACATTGCGAAGCCTGAGAATCGTGGTGTACTCCATCACTTCGCCTCCTTGTGCTCTGAGGTGCGCATAATTCTCCATCTCTGCATCGGGCAGCAACTCGTTGTCCTTCTTCCATGCAAAGGTCATTGGCGAATCACTGCTGCTGGCAGCTGAACATACAAAACTTAAATTGGAACCTTTGATTGCTGCTTGAGTTTCAGGCTGGACAGTTATTTGTGGCTTTGGAAAATCATCTGCAAATATAAAAACAAATAAAACAAAATAGAAATAAGCTGCTAGGATTGAGTACCAGAGAAACAGAAGTGAGGGGGAAACCTGAGAACTGGAGTTGTACTATGGATTTTTTACAACGTGTTTTTGAAAATCAAATAAACATGCCATGTAATTTCTACAATCCATAAATGGCACTCCGCAAGACTTTTTAAAAAAGCAAACAATTCATTCTAGAGCAGCAGATGAGACTTTGTTAATAATATGATTTGGACTATAGTGCCCAGTTACTTGTTCTCGGTTATGTCCAGTGGTACTGATGAGAGCTGTATGGCAAAACATTTGCAGAGACAAAGTTTTCCTGCTTCTGGTCTAGAGAAACTCTTTTATTTGAGGTCAGCTAAAAAAAAAACCCTTCTCATGTAAGGTCTGACAGCACCCATAACAAAGAGATCCTATACAGTAGGGCTGGGCAGTTTCGTTTCGTTAATTCGTAATTCGTTAAAAATTCGTTATTTTTTTTAACGAAGCGATAACGAACCATTCTGGAGCAACTTAAAAACGAAACGAATTTTTCAATTCGTTTCGTAAATGCTTCGTATTTCGTTATGTATTCGTTTCGTTATTGGTTTGAGGTCGTTTCGTTATTATTTCCGCATGTCTGGGGCAAGTTTTATAGTTGTTTTTTGTTTAATTAGTGAAAAAAAAATAATATCACACCAACAGTCAACAACAGAGGGAGAGGGAAGCTTCAGAAGTTTTTTTAGCGTATTGCGCGATCGCGGCCGCCATTAACGAATCGATTCGTTATTGTTTTGTAATTTTTTTTTACCATTTACGAAATTTCGTAAATATCGAACTTTTTTTAAGGAAAATTTCGGAATTCTTTTAAATATCGAAACGCAAAAAACCCCAAAAAACGAATCGATTTTAGAAACAAATTTTTCCGTTGTTACCCAGGCCTACTATACAGCATTCTGTTTCATCTTGGTAACTCACTAGGATCATATGTAACCTGAACAGCACAGGGAGCGGAAGGCTGGCTGGGCAAAGGGAGGCAAGCAGAGAATGTTCTCTCCTGCTCTTGCATTGTGTATGTGTGAGTGTGTAGGAGGAGAAAACCAAGGTGCTACTGAACTCTCCTCATATGGTATTATACGCTCATATGGAAAAGACAGTAAAAAAAACAAACCACCGGGAACTTTGTTCCAAAAGCCAAAATACAATTAGGCTACAATCCTACAAACTTCTTAGGTTAAAGTAATTGTTTTCCCCTGAAATTAAGTCTAGTTATATTTGACTCTGGGGGGTGGTGCTCATCTCCATTTCTAAGCCCAAGGTCATGTGGCTATCATGACTTCATGGAGCGCTGTTACCTTCCCGGCAGAGTGGTACCTATTGATTTACTCACATTTGCATGTTTTCGAACTGCTAGGTTGGCAGAAGCTGACAATAACAGCGGGAGCTCACCCCGCTCCCCAGATTCTAACCGGCGACCTTTTGGTCAGCAAGTTCAGCAACTCAGCGGTTTAAACCCACTGCGCCACAGGGGCCTCCGTGCCACAACCATCTTAGCTGGGATTTAATTCTAAGGAGAGTTGCTATTATTATTTTTCACTTGCAAGATACTGCTTCTGCAAAGTGCCACCTAAACAAAGACATATGAAGCTTCTATGAAGTCACTGTCAAATCCATATTGCCTTTTCCTCCCCTTTGGGTTGTGGAGAAGCAGCGTAGTTGTTTTTGCCCAAGGCATACCAGTTGCCAACTTCTACTACATAAAATATAATGGTCACATTTACAAGTTGTAAATCACGGAGATTATTTTATATTTAGATATTATGGCACATTTCAACACTTATTTTGAGTCTGCAAGAAACTGCCTTTGGGTGTGAAGTTTATTATCTTGAGATAGCTCCAAGAAGTACAAATTACATCAATTTTGAATTATAAGGAGCAGAAAACCTATAAATACATATTTTCTTCTTTGTTAAAACCCCCCTTGCCTGTTTTCCTGGCTTCTTTTCTTCCCAGAACTCTAACCTAGCATGTTCAATTAGCTTCTACACACACACACACACACACACACACACAGAGTTATTTTCATTAAATTTAGAAAGCCATGTGGTATATTTCTCCTGCTGAGCAATCATTATAATGAATGCAAGGATGAGTATTTGAATTACAGCCATTCAGCTGCAAGATCTGAGAATTAAGTAGCACGCTTCTTCCAGACTTCAAATATATCTTTAGGCGACACTTCCCACTGAAACATTAAAATGATAACTAGGATATGAAGATCAAGAAATGTTTATTCAATTCAGTAAATTTGCTCAGCCCACTAAGAAAAACTTAACGTCTTCCTACTCCTGGTATATGCTGTGTAATAAGATTAATTCAAATAGTAAGTCTCTCAATTAGACACAAGAAATTAGACACAGATGGCTTTAGCGGACAACTTATTCTATGGAAGGTAGGATGTGTTGCAGTTAGAGGCTCAACAGCCAAACACCTCCAACTTTGGCTCAATTGAAAATACAACTCTCTTTTGTGTATGCAATTTTCTACAGCTCAGTTTAAAATCCATGAAAAATTATGCCAATTATGCTTTCTGCTCTACTGTTTCATTAGCCATATGTTTGACACTTCAGAACAAGTCACAGTTCTGTTTGTTGTTATGTGTCTTCAAGTTGCTTCTGATTGATGACGACCCTAGGGCACACCTATTGCAGATTTTTCTTGGGAAGATTTGTTCAAAAAGGGTTTGCTTTTACTGTTTTAAAGAGCTTGGCTTGTGCAAGCCCACCCAGTTGGTTTCTATGGCTGAGCAAGTGTTCGGATCCTGGTTTCCAGGGCCATAGCTCAATATTCATACACTATATTGACTCAATTCTAACAAAAGTTTTATTTCTCTTTCTTATTCCGTATATATAAATCAGTTTATTTCAGTGATAATATACCACTGTGTACACAGCAATGACTCTGCTATTGGTTTAAGCATGGAAAATGCTCTTGTGCAGAACAAAAGCAAGCATCAAAATCATAGTAAAGTTATTCAGCATCGCAGTAACGGTATTCCTAAATTTATACACCGTTATTCATGAACAAAATTATTGGTTGCTGTGAGTTTTCTGGGGTGAATGGTGATGTTCTAGAAGAATTCTCTTCTGATGTTTCACCCACATCTATGGCACGCATCCTCAGAGGTTGTGAAATCTGTTGGAAACTAAGCAACTGGGGTATATATATCTGTGGAAAGTCCAGGGTGGGAGAAAGAACTCATGTCTGTTGGAGGCAAGTCCAAATGTTGCAACTGGCCAACTTGATTAGCACTGAATAGCTTTGCAGCTTCAAAGTCTGACTTATTGATATCTGGGGCAATCCTTTGTTGGGAGGTATTAGGTTGCTCTAATTGTTTCCTGGCTGGATTTTCCCTGTTTTCTGAGTGTTGTTCTTTATTTACTGTCCCAATTTTAGAGGTTTTTAATACTGGTAGCCAGGTTTTGTTCATTTTCATGGTTCCCTCCTTTCTGTTTAAATTGTCCACATGCCTGTGGATTTCAATGGCTTCTAACGTAGTTGTTAAAGTGGTCCAAGCATTTCTATGATTTCAAATAATATGCTGTGTCCAGGTTGGTTCATCAAGTGTTCTGCTATGGCTGACTTCTCTTGTTGAATTAGTCTGCAGTGCCTTTCATGTCCACCTGGAAATGTCCAAGTTATGGCATGGGAAGAACTGTTACTATGGATGGCATTATTGATCTCTTCCTCTATAGCTGGTTCAATTGGCAATTCACAGAGGGGTGTTTCACAGGGCAGGTATTCCTCCAAAAATGAAGGTTTGGCTTTTCAGGTTTAATGAGTGACAAAATGAGCAAGAACTTTGTCTCATCCCTGAATGAACATAAACAAATGACTATGTCCATAGAACAGTTCATACTGAAAGATGTATTTTAAATTGGAACACGTGGTAGTACAGGGATTGGGGAGGGGGTGTTAAAAAAAGACCGAAAGGTGGAAAAATGCCCAATGAATAAAAATGCCATGAAAGTTGAAGATGCTAATTAACATTGTGAGAGTGTCTGATGAGAGGCGAATTCATCAGAGACCATTTATTGGGATTCTTTTCTCATGGAAGTTTGAAGACAACCAATGGCCACAGCCCACTTCTAGAGGGATAGACAGAAAGTAAAATTTTCCTAGTTTCCAACAGTCCTCACAACCTCTGAGAATGCTTGCCATAGATGTAGGTGAAATGTAATGGCCATACAGCCCGAAAAACCTACAACAACCCAGTGATTCCAGTCATGAAAGCCTTTGACAATACAGAAAGTAAAATGTCTTGTTTTAAATGAAAACTGTCTGTGTGTATTCATGTGTGTGTGGGACAAAACATATTTCAGATTCTCATTGTACCTGGATATGTGGGACATCACTGGGATGACAGAAGAAACATAGCTTTTCAAAATGGCAAGGCTGGGTTTGTATCTGCACCACATCCCACCTGTTACACAATATATCTTCGGTATAGTATTTCCCTTTTTTAAAAATACTAGGTATGCATCAGTCTAAACATGTCAAGCTATGACAGCATATTGAGAGCTGTGCTTACCTAAGTGGTACTCATATTTTAAGCATATACATTTGTCACCACAAACCACTGTTTTTCCCTTTGTACACAATGCATAAGTATGGAGTACATGAAATTGTTATAAACTGTCATTCCTTATTTGAAATGAAACCGCAAACTCTAAATATTAGCAGATCAGAGCTTATAAGGGCTGGAATGAAAAGGAGTATTTTAACAAAGCAAAGTAAAAGTTACTGCTATAGTCAGGTAATAAAAACGAATACATCTTCTGTAAAGCAATCCCTTCCTTACTTTACAATCTTGACAGGGATTTTTAAAAAGTTTTTAGGCTTACCACAGACAAACCCATCTAGGCTGACAGTAAAAACATTTCTTCCTTTCAGTATCTGAGGGTGGGCACAAGTGGCATTTACAAAAGTCTGGAAGTTATTGTCTAACAGCCAACCAGGCAGCCATTTCAACTGGCAATCACACAGAAGACTTGATGTATTTAGGTAACTAGAAGAAGAAAAAAACAGATCAAAATAGGCAAATTCAATTCAAAAGAACCACAATCAATGTTAAAATCAAACATTAAAATAAGTGAGAGGCAAAACTGACCTTAACAGGGCAATAAGATAAGTAAACAACAACATTTAAATCATAGTCGATGTCAATGTCCATGGTATTTATTTTCTTAGAATCACAGAATCATAGAATCATAAAATCCTAGAGTTGGAAGAGACCCCGTGGGCCATCCTGTCCAACTCCCTGACAAGAAGCAGGAAAACCACATTCAAAGCACCTCTGACAGATGGAAATCCAGCCTCTGTTTAAAACCTTCCAAAGAAGCAGTGTCCACCACACTCTGAGCAGTTCTCACAGTCAGGAAGTTCTTCCTCATGTTCAGGTGGAATCTCCTTTCCTGTAGTTTGAAGCCATTGTTCCGCATCCTAGTTTCCAGGGCAGCAGAAAATAACCTTGCTCCCTGATTTGAATACTATTCCAATTCATACACCACAGAAAATAACTAGATACTATAACATAAAATACTTAGTAGTATATGAGCTAAGTCTCACTCAACCCTAGGCAACATCCAAACAACAATGGAAAAAGCTTCAAGTGCTCTTTTGCATCTCTCCTATTCATAGGTAACTGGGGATCTACATTTTCATTGACTACACCCAGAGTCATTTTTTTAAAAGAAATTATTTCTCATCTAGTGCTTCAAACAAGAAAATCCCAATGTCTCTGCTGCTGGCGAAAAGAATTTGCCTTTCACTTTTGGTTGCTCTTGAAGTCTAAAAGGGACTTCAAAAGCAAATAGGGCTAAATCCATCATTGGTCGTACATTGGACTCACTGAAATCAGTCAGACTTAATCAGTCAGACTTAATCAGTCATTAATTTCAGCCACACTACCCCAGGTAAAACGAATGTTACATTTAGTCCAAATTGCATCAAATACTTAAAACAATTTACATACCCAGAAGCAAACTCATTCAGACCTACACTAAGATTGCACTTTGCTGGATCAATATGCTTCCTCCCTAAGAGTGGGAAAACAAACGCCAGTGGACTTAGCCATATACTTGGTCACTGGACTATAAGGTGAAGGTTAGAAGAATAACCTTTCATGTTTTCAACCTGTGGGTCCCTAGGTATTTTGGCCTACAACTCCTAGGAATCACAGACAGTTTACCAGCTGTTAGGATTTCTGGGGGTTGAAGGCCAAAACTTCTGGGGACCCACAGGTTGAGAACCACTGACCTAGAGCTTCCAGTTCCTTTAGCGCATTGTTTTGAGCTTTTTCTCTCAGTCAGCTCAGATTTGGTTGAAAAAAAAATGACTCAAAGAGGAGAATGAAGAAGATACCTTTTACACATCTCCTGCCCCACTTAAGAACTGAACCAATATATACAAGTTGTGAAGCAACACTCAGATCTGCTTTGATCAAGAATGTCTTTGGTCTGGAAATTGTCGGACTATTTTCTTGTTGTGCAGAAGTTTCATGCTTTAAATTATCCAAACATCTGGTTATTAACATTTTTTCATTATTGCCTAACTATTGTTCAACTATTGTATAAAGAAAGAGATAAGGTAGAGACACTTACAGCTCTTTCAGGTTCTTCATTTGTGAGAACGTGTTCCCTTGAACTGACATGATTGCATTATTGCTGAGATCGCTGAGGAGAAATGACAAACATTATTACAAATTAAGACCAAATTTTCAAATTCCGTTCTGCAAAAAGAAAAGGAAAAAAAACAGCTGCAGGGGATTCCTGGACTCATATTTACAAGATACAACCAATTTTAATGGATCTACAGAATAAGGTAAACGACCCTATGGTGAATAATATCCATGGTTGTATATGTCAGCAACTGTATGACTAAATATGATTTCCAAGTACTTACAGGTGTTCAAGTGCATCCAGACCAGAAAATGCTTTCTTAGTAATTGATCTAATCCTGTTTCCTTGGAGTAGCCTGGAAATACAAATACATAATGTATAACAGATGCAATAAAAGAGGTGCCACGTTTTTGAACCCTCCAAGAATGTCTCTTGATAATTGCTTTTAAGACACATTTTATGGCTTGCTTTTTAGGCCTTTATGCTGCCACAAAGTTATTTCGTCTCCTAAATCTATATATGCCTTCTGCTTCAATAACTACAGAGATGAAGGCATTTCAAGTATGTTTAATGTATATAATTTGGTAAAGCAAAGCAATTATTTCAGGAATAGATCTAAACCATATCGTATTTCCACATCTGCGCCCATTCTGAAATAAGTCTTCACGTTCTAATGGAACCATTTCCAGTACATACTGGATTGCCTTATCAAATGTTGCCCTTGGGCCCCCGTGTCAGACAGTCTTTCAACAGCATGACCCTTTTTAATTTCTGTGGTGAAGAAATTTGGTCCTATAAGCAAGGTTTATGATGCTATATCTAAATTTAAAATAAAATAATATTTATTTATTGCATTTATATCCTGCCTCTCTCCAAAATGGGATATTTATTGTACCTTTAAATCATTTCATAATAAAATTTCCTAGAAGAGCCAACAGTTGAAAACCAGTTTAAAACCGGAAACAGCCAATAAAGCATAAATCCAATAACACCACACTGTAAAATGTAAATATCAGCAACAAAGGAGAGACTAAAACAATGTCAGTCATACAATCAAGCCACAACGTGATCTTTATGGAATTAAGTTTTAAAACACACTTTAATATCTTCTCAAGCCAAGAAGGATGAGTGTACTTGTTTGCACTTGAGACAAAAGAAGATTAAATGAAGGGTAGTATGTCAAGAGACATATTAAATTAATGTGCCTCCAAACAGCAAATCGATACAAACTTCTGCTGTTTCCAGATTTTTTGCTTCAAAGTTTCTCCACATTCGCTCACTTCCTCCCAGCACTGAGCTAAATAAACCTGATATTTTGATAACAAAGCCTCAACTGACCTTATGGTCCACATTTCAGTGGAAATGAAAGATCAAGTCACTCAGAGACCCAGAACCCACCTTGCACATGGCAACTAGTTCTGTTCTCAACAAACACAACTGCTACATCTCTCCCCAGCTCCTTAGCATTTCAGTTGCTTGGTTTTTCAAAACCTACTCCCCCTTGCCTTTATTTAATCTATGGTCTCTTCTCTAATGGGAGGGGAAGAACAAACACCTTTGTGATCATTCATGTTTATGAATGAGCCCCCAGTGGTGCAACGGGTTAAACCCTTGTGCTGGCAGGGCTGCTGACCAAAAGGTCAGCAGTTAAAAACCGGGAAGAGGGGTGAGTTCCCATTTGTCAGCTCCAGCTTCTCGTTTGGGGACATCACAGAAGCCTCCCACAGAATGGTAAAACATTCAGGCATCCCCTGGGCAATGTCCTTGAAGACAGCCAATTCTGTAACAGCAGAAGCGACTTGCAATTTTTCAAGTCACCCAAAACGGGAAAAAAAATCATGTTTAAAAACCTAGGTACAAAGGAAAGAAAATCTTCATTTTTACTTATATACAGCTGTAAAGTTATACTCACAGCCATTTCAGTTTGTCAAGACCAGAGAATGCACCATTCATGTCTTCAATTGTCCATGAGATTTCGTTATTTTTAAGATCTCTGTGATGACGAATAAAGACAGTTGCAATGTTTGAAAAAGGGTATAGACAACATTTAACATCACACATTAGCACATTAGGAAAGCAATTGTACCTGACTGATCTAAATGTTTTAAAGTCCCAGAAAACTAGCAAAGCAGGTGATCCTCCACATTATTGGGCTTAATAGTCATAGATTTGATTAATATGTTCTTTCTTGGAATTTTGAGGTCCTTCAGGCCAGTTTCCACCAGAAGTTGGTCACAGAATTGTCGTGGAGGACACATGGTCCAAAATAGGCATTCTGTCATATATATTTTTTAAAAAAATTACTTGCAGTTTTCCAGGTTGGACATTTTAGCAATTGTAGCACACTGGGCTCACTAATGAACATGACAATTCTCAATACAGACAGAGTTTACAGAGCAGATCAAACAGAGGGAGCAACCATTCTCCTGTATACATGATGATACATGTCATTATTACTGTACAGAATGTTCCATACAATACCTGCAATTTTGTAAAAGGACCCTAAATTAATTTAGTCCCATTCTCATTGTTTAAAATGACAACTATCAAAAGAAATATATGACTGATAGGGCACCAATTTAATTTCTGGAATTTTGAAGCAGCCACCTTTCTCTCAAAGGAACTGGAGTAGACTATTGTGTGACTCAAATTAAAAAGGTATAGAAAAATTAATAAGAATGTGCACTTATCACTTAGTCCCTTCAGGGAGATAGGGCTGGTTATAAATACATCATCATCATCATCATCATCATCATCATCATCATCATCATGGTGCATCTACACCAGTGGTTCTCAACCTGGTGGTTCTACAACTCCCAGAAATCCCAGCCAGTTTACCAGCTGTTAGGATTTCTGGGAGTTGAAGGCCAAAAACATCTGGGGACCACAGGTTGAGAACCACTGATCTACACTATAGAATTAATGCAGTTTGGCACCATTTTAACTGCTACACTAAATTAAAACTCTCATGACTCCAAAACAATGAGCTATGACAATACCAGTAGTGTTAAACTATATATATTCTACCGTGTAGATGCACCCATAGTTTCCCTTATCATGCTTCTCAGACCTAACTAAAACACACTTTAGAATCAAAAAATTGTTTTTTTGACCTTTTCGGGATATCTTGAAACTTACAAGGTTTGCAAACTGGTCAGTCCCCGGAAGGCACAGTCAGCAATGTAGCTTACTTTGTTGTTTCCAATATTCAGTCTCAATAGCAGGCTTAAGCCAACAAAACTTGAGTCCTCTAGTCTTGCTAAATTGTTGTACGTTAAATCCCTATAATTTGGAAAGGGGAGAAATATTTGTTTTAATCAACACTTAATAAGGTATGTAAACAGAATAAGAAACTATTCCTTAATTAGTTTCACCTGCATAACTTTTAAAGTATGTTTGTGCATCATTTTACAGTTTGTATAATATTATTGAAAAAATCAGCTTTATGTGAAAATTATAGTCACAAAGGCCAAACTGAGCTCCTATAAAGAAAGGAAAACTCCAGACCAGCTCAGTTTCTCACTAAAACTATGATTGTATTCAACACACATACTGGTATTCCCTCTTTTGCTCTCGCACAGATACAAACAAACACACACACACACACACACACACACACACACAAGTCTTGTCATCTTGGAAACTTTGCAACCAGATTATAAAAAAATAAAACTCACAGATCAATAGCAAGTAGGTCATGCCTTGGCTTGTAATCTACTCTTAAAAATGGAAGAAAGTTTTAAAAATACAAAACCACGACTCACAGCTCACTGAGCTTTTGGCAAAACTCCCAGGCATCAGGGTTGATCCTGCTGATAGTGTTATGGCTAAGATGGAGCTGCTGCAACATCAGCAAGCCATAAAGCCAGCCTTTGGTAATCTCTGTTAGGTTGTTATGATCCAGCTGCCTGCACATATAAAAATAAAATTCCAGGTTTTACCTTTTATTTGACAAGATAGCGATCATTCATGTAGTAGGATACAGAAGCCAGAAAAAAAAATTAAAGACAATAATCAACACATTTATATTGGTAACATGACAAAACCCCAAACAAGAAATTGAACTACAGAATGCAAAAAAAGTTCATCTTTGAATACTAGAGAACTACATACTTACAGTATTTCCATGTTACTTAATCCCCAGAAAGCTCCATCCATGAGCCTAGCTAGTCCATTTCTTTGTAGTCTTAATGATTTCAAAGAAGGGAGTCCTTGAAAAGTAAGTCCATCTATTTTTCTAATTTTGTTGCGGTTCATCTCTCTGGGGGAAAAATATCCCAAGTTAATTAAAGCAAACACCCACTTCCCAAACAAAGCTCAAGTTTCCAACTGCACACATTATCTACCCATTCTGAACCATCTCTGCGCCCTTCTCATCAAACATCCAAAATGTTCTTCAGTCCTGATGCAATCAACAACTTTCCCCAACGGCTTCCTTTTCCATTTCTGTTACATACAACGAAAAATCAAGTAGCTACAATTCTTTTCAGTCCACAAAACATGTCTTGTTTGTGTGTTTTCATGCAGGCTTCAACCACCACCACTACTTCGTTCTCCTCTTTTTTGGACTGACTTTCTTCCATACCCCTAGAAAGCCCCTGCCCTTATGTGGTTACTACCTGTATTGATGCTCGACCATTCCCTTTCTATCCTTGGCTCCCCTTAACTCCCATTTCATTCTTTTTCTATCTCTCCTCTTTGCACAGACCCATTTTATGCTTACCCCATTTCAATCACCAACCCTCAGAGCAACTTTTTTTGTATCTGCAAATCAAGCTTCTCCACTCAGAAGCTATTCTCTACTTCTTTCATATCATTTTATAAATAATTTACTGGAAATGGCAAAGAAGAAAAAAAGGAAATACTACAACTTTCTAATGCACCAGGACAACACAATAAATGACTATGTTGGCATATTCAAGGTCAGATTTTCCTAATCTTGTCACCTTCAGATGTTTCAGCTATGCAGACTAGGGGTGGTGGGACCTAACGTTCAACACATCTGGAACGTTCTAAGTAGAGAAAGGCCTCTCAAGTCAAAGCAAACGTATCAAACTAAATAAAAACTGTAGAACAAGACTGAATCACATGAATTGTGCTTCTGAACAATCCAAAACACCTCTGCCCTTATGTGGTTACTACCCATACTGAGGCTCGACCATTCCCACATTAATTTAAAACAATTAGGTAATTAGAGGCTTCACTTACAGATGCTGGAGATGAGGGAGTTTAAATATTTTTTGTGGAATTGCTGAAATTCGGTTCCTATTCAGTTTCAGTACTTGAAGTGTACTAGATAAATTGTCAAAAGTGCCAGGTTCCAAGGAAACGATTCGGTTATTATTGATGTGGCTGTAGATATAATGACAGAATTACCATCTTGGAAATGCTGGAAGATTTAACAATAATACCTCATTTCTGCTTCCTGGTAACTATTATTTCCAATTGAACATCTCAATGAGCACCTTTAATCTTCCACAATACTTTAACTAGTTCTTAAAAGATGGAGAAATATTTTGTTGATTCAATAGAAATGATAAATTCAAGTATTTTAAGAATTGACCAACTCAGTTAAAAAATATGACACTGAAAAATTTGAAGACCATTTTCTATTGTAGTCTCCAGGTTTTATCACTATATTATTTTATCAATTGACTGATATTTTCAGCAAACTAATGTCAGATAAAACAAAATCAGAGAAATAAAATTGAGAAATAGCTGAGGGACTAAATGCAGGACCCTCTTACAGCAAGAGAACGTCATTGTATCCAATGGATCCATGACTAATTGTGACACAATAATGAAAAACCTTACAATGGCAGAAATATTGATTACAGTGAAGAGATATCTTAACCTCTCCCTTAGCAGAATTTCCCTGCCCTCCATATATAAATTCATATACATTATAATGAAAATTTCGATCAGATGAAAATATTTTTATTATTATTTTAAACAACATTTTTACTTACAGGTGTTTGAGCACTAAAGGTGGAAATGTTCCTGTCTTCAGAACAGAAATATTGTTGTTGCTCAGGTCTAATGTTTCTAGAGACTGAAATGGCTTCAGGTGTTCCGGCAGGATGTCTGAAATCTTGTTGCCTGTCCTGCGTATCAAAAAGCAAAATAGCAATCAATCAATACACATTTGTTTTCAGACAAGGTATAAAGTAACTACATTTCCTGAGAAACAAAGGTTTTCCACGAAGCAGAGTTCTATATGAAAGAGTGCTGACCAACACCCTAAAAATATTTATGAAGTACCTAAAATTGCTGTGCATTGCATTGTACAATAGGTTTTTAGATACAGGCTACTGATCAGAAATTGTATGTGTGTGTATCTTTGTGTGTGTGTATATAAGTATATATAGCATGGATTATGCATGTGGAAAATGAATACATACACTATAACTCGAAGGCTTTCATGGCTGGAATCTATAACTATAAGGAAATACATATAACTGTAAGGAAATATACTATAATCTATAACTATAAGGAAATATACTATAACTAAAAGGAAATACATAGAAACAGACACTGAACCACTATCTGGAAGTGTTTCAGAGTCAATAGAAAGTGCATTGTAGACTAACTGGGTTTATAAAACCTTTATGAAAGGAGTGCAAATTCTATTCAGAGGCAGGGTTTGGCCTTACAAATTTTCTTATTAGGCATCGTACAAATGTGCTATCTTGTATTAAGTTTTGGACTTCTTCACTTAAAGTAAGGAGACCCATCCAAAATCATTTATACTTGTTGCTAACACTCATTGATTTAAATTCTCATGATGAGTAACTAAGTAGAATATTGCTGAGGACTTGGTTGCTCTTTCAGTTCTGTCCCCCTCCATTCCCTTGGGAGGCACATGAAAGATTGTGTTGAGAGAATTTAAAAGGAATATTTTTATTTCTAAGTGAGGAATCTACATTAACAAAAAGGTATCTCTCATATGAAGGTGTTGACTTGGAGAAGTTACAAGGCTGCAGAATAGTCTAAGTCATATTCAGCCGTTTACAAAGAAAACATAATTTCCCTAAGATGTCAAAACTAAATATTTATCTTGTCTACTCAGGAATACAGCTGGAGAAATGATCTGGATGTTGATGGACGAGGGAGACTGGGAGCTTTATCCTTGTCTATTACCAAGCATCCTCCTAGGGCACCCTGCTCCCCATTTCTTGTCTCTCTTTGCACGCAACTGCATTATTTGATGCAGTTTTGCACCGATCACAGGAGATGTACTTTTATTCAAGGTTCTTTGCCAAAGAGTGCCATTGCCTCACCAAACGATTATTTCCATTATTCTAAAGCACTAAGCCTTATCAGTTAAAGTGGTGTCAAACTGAATTAATCCTACAGTGTAAATGCATCCTTAGTTTTCTTCACGCAGACTATTTTGACCTTTGCTTTGGAAAGTTCCTTGATATTCAGGGTCATGTTCTTTTGAATAAATTACCTACTCTTTAGAAATTAACAAATGTTCGTCAGAAGTGTATTTTCCATGCCATTTTGACTGCCAAAAGATTGATACTTCCTTCTTGTTGCTACGTGTGTTTTAATTGTTTCTATTTAGTTGTTTCTAAATTATGGCAAGCCAAAGGAATGCCTACCTCGTTCAAAAGGTATCTGGGGCTGAGAGTGTGTGACTTGCCTAAGATTACTCAGTAGGTCAAGCAGAGAATCCAATGGACAGAAGCTTTAACAATGCTCATAACATCTGAAATTATTCCATACAGACAAAATTTACAAATGGACTTGTATTTGGGCATTTGGTCAGCATTTTGAGAAACTTGTGACTAAGGTAGGGCCGTGGTGGTGCAGCAGTTTAAACCGCTAATCTGCAGAACTTGCTGATCAGAAGGTCAGTGGTTTGAATCCACAGACGGGATGAGCTCCTGTTGTTAGTCCCAGCTTCTGCCAACCTAGCAGTTCAAAAACATGCAAATGTGAGTAGATCAATAGGTACCACTTCAGCAGGAAGGTAATGGTGCTCCATGCAGTCATGCTGGCCACATGACCTAGGAGGCATCTACGGACAATGCCGGTTCTTCGGCTTAGAAATGGAGATGAGCACCACCCCGCAGAGTCGCACACAACTAGATTTAATGTCAAGAAGAAACCTTACCTTTAACTATGACTAATGTGGTTTTCTTTTCTTTTCTTGTTTTTGTTATATTGGAATGTTATTGTATGCAACTGAAATCCCTTTCGAATGTAAATAAATTTTGAAAATAGCTTTAATTGTCATGTATGATTTATATGAGCCCCTAACATGTACTGGATGCTGAGAAACACTAAAAAAAAAAAAACCTCCCATGTGTATTGTTCCTCATTGCTCTGCTTCTAAAAAAGAAATGATAAACAAACAAACAAACAAAAGGAAAAGATGCAAAGGTCATGAGAGTAAAAGAGCACAAAAAGGAAGAAAAGGATTCAACAAAGCAATATGTAAGAAAATGAAAGCATACTTCTAATGTTTGTACTAGTAGGAAATTCATAGGAAAAGGAAGCAAGAAGCAAGAAGGTCTTTTTACAGAAGATTTAATAAAAATGAAAGAAAGATGAACCCAGCACAATTTTAGAGGGAGGGTGGAAAAGTCCTACACATGAAGAACTACAACAATAGAGGCAGAGTGATGAAGAACAATACACAGAACCAAACACGCAAGTGACAAGACCAAAGACAGCTTATGAGTAGCAGCAACTTCCAAGCCAAAGAAAAAGTCAGAGCAAATCAAGAGCGAAAAGACAGCAGAGTCAGAAGGTTAGATTGTGCAGAAAGTAAAGAAGAAATGAGGAGAAATTCAAGGACTTAAGGAGTGACAAGATCATGAAGAATCTTATAAGCAAGACCTTTACAATGAATAACAGTAGTGACTTGGGATGGTAAAAAATGATGAATGAGTTAATCGGTATATGAGGGAAGAGAACAATATGAATAGCAGAATTAAGAGTTGAAATAAGCTTCGAATTCAATAAAAACAATGGAAAAATGAAGAGAATAAAATAACCAATGAAAGAAAATAAAGTAATCCTTTAACAATTCCAATCACATGGCTTGTTAATGAAATGGTACAATGGGTCCTTGGAATAGGTTGGGGTTTTGCTCCAGGACACTGTGTGGATACCAAAATCTGTTGATATTTAAGTCCCTTCGAATAGTGTCCCTTAAATTGCAAATATGGATGGATAGTTGAATCCTTGCATGAAGAATCTGTGGATACAGAGGACTGGCTGCACTTTATCTGATGGCAGTGGCAGATGGTTGTTAAATTTCCCACAACATCTCAAAATGATGCCAGATCAAGGCATTGTGGTCAATGCTGAATAATGGTTTGCAGGAGGCTGAAGCTTGGAATAAAGGCCTGTTTTCAATTTGAGATTATCAAGACATTATTTTAAAATTGTATATCGCTTTGAGGAGCATGTTGGATAGAAATGGGATTAATAATACAAAATTGGTCACAAGTGCCTAGTGCCACTTCCAAGCCTGTCTATTGATCTAATATTCAAAACAGGAAAGCTTTAAGAAAGAAAAAGATTATAATATGGTTATCAAGTTCTCTGCTGAAGACAGAGAGAAGCTGACTTGCCCACCTTCAATTATGCTAAAATTGTTCTATTTTTTTGAACACATTGACTTACTGTTCCTTCAAAATAAGTTGTTTCTGTTTTAAACAGGATGTCTGGCATCTGCAGTGCCCATATAAGCACTTAAGGGAAGTTGGAAGGCTGAGATTAATTACCACTCATTAAAACAAAAACAAAAAAAACTGGCTTAAAAAAAGCAGCCAGAAGTTGTGGATTAAGGGGCCCTCACACCAGATGTGTAAAAAGAACGGCTGTTTTTTTACACCTTGGACATTGTTCTACTTCAGCATGGAGTTTCAGTCTTCTGCCCGGCTGGTGTAGCTATTTTAAGTTTGACTCTTCAATGCAAGATCTTAGTTAAACAAAAAATTATCTTTCACCAACATTGCAGGAGGATCTAGGTGTCAGTTTTACTAGCAACTCCAGCAAAGTTAGATAAGTGTAAGAGGCATTAGTTTAGACATTAGTTTGTTCATAAAGTAATTACTAACAAGGCACTAAAACTGCCAATTACTTGAGTGACAAATAATTTTTTTCTTGCAGTAAAACTGCGCTTCAGCCTAAGCCAGCAATTTCCTGAACTGCACGCCTCCTAAATTGCAGTGTGAAAGTGTTCGGTGTGGGAGAGAGCTTACACACTGCAGTCTTTGTGTCACCATTGCTTCATAAAACAGAAATTCCTTACAACTAGTTGGATAATAGCCCCTGTATCGTGAAGTTTAGCAGTTTCTAATAGACTGGAATAATCCCACCCTCAGATTTGATTTTAACTATCTGGCAAATTTGTTTAGGCAGCCTGTTCCACAGATAACATGATGTTGGGAGCTTTATTGTGGGATTGCAAGAGGAGAAAGTGCCTTCATATGTTAACTAACAGCAATCTCGAGATTAGTGGTTTAATGACATCTCAATAGAGTTCAAAGGCAATGTAAGAAATAAATCACAGGACACTTTAGTTGCTGGTTATCCAAAAGCTGCACTTGAGGATATTTCAGTGTTTTCCACATTATAGGAAATGTTATCCTCTCTTTAAAAGAAATCAGGTCTCTAAAATTCTCTATTTCAGGTTTAGCACCATACTGCTTATTAGTTTAAAATATTTAGATTATAAAACAAAGTATTATTTGTAGTTCAATTGCCTTTATTTGTGGCTCAGTTTTGACAATTGCAATGAATTGATTTGAATTTCTTTTAAGCTATCCATCTCTCAGCCAGAGAGAAAAACATTATTTTCCCTAACACAAGGAAGGTATAACAAAGACCTATTTTTTCCTGTCTGTAAATTTTTCCTATAAAAGATTTTCAAATATACATTATCTTAATGGATGTAAGAGCCAGCATGGCAGGGATGTAGCCGGGGGGGGGGGGGGGGGGGGGGGGCCTCAGCCCCCCCCAAATTCTCATGGTGGTTCGAGAAGGCCTTACTGGTACATTATTTAAACTGTTATGTTATTCATATCATGATCTGATCACCATGCTCAATATATCCCATATGCATGAGGGTATTGGGGTAATG